AAAAAAAAAAAAATCAGCTGAGCATGGTGGTCCCAGCTTATAGTCCTAGTGACTTAAGAGGCTGAGGCAGGAGGGTTGCTTGAGCCCAGTAGTTCAAACCCAGCTCAGGACAGCTACACAAAAATGACAATTGCAACAAAAAAAGTAGCTGGGCGTTGTGGCGGGAGCCTATAGGCCCAGCTACTTGAGAGGCTGAGGCAAGAGAATTGTTTAAGCCCAAGAGTGAGGTTGCTGTGAGCTGTGACACCACAGCATTCTACTGAAGGTGACATAGTGAGATTCTGTCTCAAACAAAAAAACCCCTCAGCTCAGATTTTTCCCTTATGTTAGAAATGTTACTGCATTTCCTCCAGGCATAAAGTATAATTGCAAAAGCCTGATGATCATCTAATGGTTTTGTTTTTCTCTTTAATAGTGGTGTTATTTATATAAATCTTTGTGTTGGCTGTTCAGGGTCAATAATCTTAGAAACAAGTGTATTAAAATGTTTTTTAAAATTAAAGTTTTCTGAACTACAGCTGTTTTAGACTAATTTCTATTATCTATATATTGTGCATTCTTTCCTTATTTACCAATTCAGCATTCAAAAAAAAATTTCCCGTTTGTTTCTTTATCTCTTATTTAAGGCATTATCTGCAGTGTTTATCTACATTCCTTCTAGTCATTTCTGAAATGTTCTTATTTCCATTGCTTTCCTGAGTTTATCTTATTTCTGAATTTTTCCAGTTCTAAATTTTCTTCATATTTTTTATCTTCATATCCTTTAGGACAGTTTCAAATAGTTTTGATCTGCTTTGTGGGTTTCTTTTGGATAGATTTTCATTATAAAATACTATTTTTTTTTTTTGTGAGTCTCATGATGTCACCCTCAGTAGAGTACTGTGATGTCACAGCTCACAGCAACCTCAAACTCCTGGGCTTAGGTGATTCTCTTACCTCAGTTTCCCAGTAGCTGGGACTACAGATGCCCACCACAACACCCAGCTATTTTTTGTTGCAGTTGTTACTGATGTTTAGCTGGCCTGGGCTGGGTTCATCAAACCTGCCAGCTTCAGTGTATGTGGCTGGCACTGTAACTACTGTGCTATAGGCACTGAGGCATAAAATACTATTTTTGCTCTTGATTTTTTTAATTAAAATTAACTTGTATAAAACTGATCTAAAAACTTTTCTGTGATTTCTTTTCAAGGAAAATTAAGAGGAAGCATGATTCAGAGAAGCTTTTCTGAGTTTCATTTTTTTTAAGTATTCAAAAATAGGGTATTCTGTGGAGGTCCTTTTTCTTCTTCCTGTTGACTATTCCTTTTTAGTCTACTTCTAGTCCATCTCTTCATCTTTCTTCTCAAATTGGCTTCATCCCAGCAGTTTCTCTTCTGTGAGGGGCACTGTGCTGGAAGGCAGACATGATTTGATGAACATGGTGAATCAGTACCAATATGTCACAGGGGCCGGAATGATTTCTCCTTCAGATCTCACATGACCCTTGAATTCATTCACTGCTGAAATGGGCAAAGCCTCTCCCAGTTTCAAATGCTGTTTTTGGCATGGCCTGCTGTTTCAGTGGTTACTCCACACTTCTGTTCTCAGGTCAGTAGATTCCCTGTTTCCTCTCTCTGCTTCACCTCAACAGATGCCACCACTTTGTGCTCTTGTAGATTTTGGTGTCTTGTCTTCACCCACTTACTAATACAGTTTGGGATTTAAGGATACCAAGTCACTTAAATTTGTTGTAAATACCATTACAAATTTTTTATTTTGCTGTCCAGTTGCTAGTATGTGGGGATTCAGAGACTGAACACCATGGTCCTGCTACCATCTTCCCCTTCAAGGCCAATCCCATTTCAGCCTTACCCTGCGCCCTTGGCTTCACAGCAATCTGCACAATGTTTCCATCCACAGTAGACTTTTACCTTGCATTGGGTTTTGACACTAGAAAAATTAACATTTCTTTGCTAAATCACTTGCCATTCATGATCAACTTCCTTGCCTGATGTTTCCTTTTCCATTCTGTTAACTCTTGGGAATATATAGAATGTTTTATTCATTTTCTGCCATTTAAGTGGCATTTTTAGTAGGTAGTGATATAAGTATTGGTAGATAATATTTGATTCACATTCCTAGTTGGTTTTATAAACAGGAAAACATTTACTGGGAATTCAACTCTGCTTTGTTCTTTGGATTTGGGTCTTTTTGTTTTGTTTTATACAGTTTTGATTATGTTTTTGCTCCATTCTGATCTCAACTTTCCTAGAGCCCACCACGAAGTCTCATTTAAACATTAAAATATTCTGGGTTCTTTTCCCTTATCCTCTTTATCACAAATTCTTATTTTTTTGTTTGTTTGGTTTTGAAACAGTCTGTTGCCCAGGCTAGAGTGCCATGCTATTAGCCTAGCTCACAGTGACCTCAAACTCCTGGGTTCAGGTGATCCTTCTATTTCAGCCTTGTAAGTAGCTGAGTCTATAGGCACCAGCCAGTATGTCCAGCTAATTTTTCTATTTTTAGTAGAGACAGGTCTTCTTCTTGCTCAGGCTGGTCTCAATCTCCTCAGCTCTAATGGTCCTCCTACCTTGGCCTCCCAGAGTGTTAGGATTACAGATGTGAGCCACTGCGCCAGACCATTACCCAAATATTTTTGTAATTCCTGTACTTCCTATTACTTCGGCTCTTCACTTGTGTAGCAACTGCTCTTTCCAGGCATCTGTCTATTTCCTGGCAGAGTGTAGGCATCACAGACCCTGTAGCTTTAGTAATTTACAGAGGGTTCAGTACAATGGCTTTAAATATATGCAAAGGAATTTTTAGTCTACACATCAAAAAGGATATGTTAAAACAGGCTATTTGGAGCTGTAGAATGTTAATGATATAAGAAGTAGTTCCTTTCATATTAGGCTGAAACAACTTTCTTTCACTGTCAGCCTATAATCCAACCAAACTCTTCAGGAATAACTGAGCACTGCCCCATTTGTGGAATGATCTTTAACCCTTCAAATTACCCCTCCCATCCCAACAACTTTATTTTCAATTCAACCCTAAAGGACAGAAAGGCAGATGAAAAATTTAAAACCTGGAGAAATACCTTGATTTCCCGTAGGACTGCCGTTTTCCATTTACCACCCTTCTACTTGACAATGTTACAGAAATCTTTAGAGCAGATTTTTATAAACTCCAGGGGATTTGTCCAATTAACATTAAAACTTCCAAAAAACTATCAAAGATAAAATTATTCTTCTATTTAGCTTCTTATATAAAGCTGAACAAAAGAAACAATTAGATAGTTAATATACAAAATGTATTCTATTTTAAAAATGGTATAGATCTAAGAACAAATCTTTCAGGCTGGTAATTACTTCATTCCCAAAAAGGGACTTCAAATTGATAAGATTCCCTTGTAGGCAATAGCTGCTCAGCAGTCTGAGTTTATTGAAATATTGCTCTCTGAACACGTGCACATTCAGGCTTATTGAATATATCCTCTTCTGCTTCTGGGGTTAGTTGGATGTTATCTTTGACTGGAGACAGAGGCTTCTTACAAGAAGGAAGCTTTTCAGAATCTCTGCAAAATATAATAAAAATAAAATTGATAATTTTAGGTTACTAGATGTTATAGAAGAAATAATCTACATGGATGAAATAGAGGTTTGTGAAGAGGGTGAGACCCTTTACTGTATAACCTGTTTCAATTCATT